ACATGAATAACAGGCTTTGGGAGTCCTGCATGTACCTCAACTGCTGGCATGTTGCCCAGAGACCATGTAATGACAGAAACAGAAGACAAATAGAAGCAGTGTCAAGAGAGATGTCATACAGAAGTGATAATTTTTTTTGGCTTGTATGTTTGCATTGGCTTCCAGGGACACATTTAAAAATTTTTCAAATCGTGCATTTTTCAAATCATCTTAATAAAGAGAATTTATGGAGGCTATAACGATGGCAGTTCAAACAATGTACTTGCTTAAAGGGTTAAAAGTAACTGTAGGGTAAGTGCACTTGACTACAGTGTTATTACAACTGAGACTAATTTGATCCAATTATTTTACAAAACTTACTGAACTTATCAGAATTAGGTAAATAGTCTTTGGAGACAAGGAAATAAAAAGAGGATTTCCCCAAGGAACATGATAAATGGAAAGAAATGGATGGAATAAAGCTATTCAAGCTGGTTTTGTTATTAAAACAACGTTCCTTCTGTACATATACTTTCCATCAGTATAATATCTGAATACTTCATACATGTTAATGAAAGAGAAGTGTTATTCCCATTTCAGACATGGGGAGTAGAGGCACAATGAGCTGTGGAGTTTGTACTAAAATTCATTGTAGTCAAAAGCTTCTGCTAGCTGGGATAAGGTGTTAAATGTCTTATGTAGGATGTCAGAGGAAATTTCTGACAGAGGTGAAATTGAATCTACTTATTCCAAATCTCATTCTCATGGCTTCACTAGCAGACAGCCTTCCTCTCACTTTTCAGCTGCCTCCTTCCATTTTCTTGATATGTCTGTGTTGCCAGCAGTGTGTTCACAGGCCTGGAACTCCCTCGCTCATCAGAACTGCCTGTGGTACAGCAGTGGGGTGAGTGCCCTTTGCTGTCCATATCAAGACCTTTTCTGACCAGGGAACAGAAGCTGCTGCAGCAGCTCTCACCAAGTGCTCCTCTCGGCAACAGAGATTCTCAACTGCAAAGTGCTTTGCATTATTGATATGGTACAGCACAACCTTAACAAATCAGATATCTTGGCTTTAATATATATATATTTACACCTGCAGATTTAGTTGTAGTGGTTTTTGTAAGCTGAAACACTAAAATAGCATTACTCTCAAGAAATTTTAATTTTCTACAGTGTTTTCTTAGTGAAGTCTTTTGCCTCAGAGCCTCTTGTGTTTAATTAAGAATTTTCTCTTGGTCCTGATATCTGTTCCATGTTCCCACATTCTGTGAAAGGGCAGAAAGGGTCAGTATTGAGCAGCAGCAGTGAAAGAAGAAATAGAAACAAAAAAATCCAGAGTACTTGGCTAGAATACTGCCTTGAAAATTCAATATTTAGAATCCCACCTGCAGAACAGCAGTATTCATCTCTATATGTAGTGCTTCACAAAAGCTTTCTAAACATTTTTGTAAAATTAAAAAAATACATTTTACCAGGTCAGTCCTGCATTTGGATCAAACCTTGTTGGCTTGTGATGAGGCTGCACTGATTTAGTTTCTTTAAAACACATTCACAGTTTGCAAGTGTAATCATAATGCTCCTGTTCAAGTGATACATTAGAAGGAAGACGAGGGCAACAGGTGTGTCAATCTCTTATTTTTGATAATGACACATAAACATAATGAGTTACCCAGAATGAAAAAAAAACAAACCTCAGGAATTGCCAAGGAAATGGGATTTTTCACCAGCTTAAACAAAAAACTTGAAAATGTACAACCTAAAAGCATGTTTATTGTACCTCAACGCTCCCTCTATAGATGGCAGACAGAGCACCAGCTCAGGCTATTTCCACAATAAGAGTTGGAGGAGAAAGTTGGAAATTCTTAAAACTTACAGAATGACATCTGCAAAGATGACAGGTGTATGAAACAGAGAATATTTAGTAAAAGGAAGGATTTGTCAGAGTTGAACAGTTTTTAATCCCCGGAATTATTGAGAAGAGAAAGCAGAATTACTTGGGAATTGTGAGGAGAAAATCTAGCGTGTCTGCAGGCAGTGGTCTGCCACTGAAACAAGCTGTTCAAAGTAATTTGTTCACCCAAAAATACTTTAAGAGCCTTCAATTTTCTTTCTAAAGATGGAGAGGATGCACAAAGAGGAACTGACTAAGGCAGGAAGCAGGAGTGCCAGGGCTTCCTGTGTGCCATTAGCCACCCGCGACAGCAGCGAAAGGGGTCACCTCCAGGTCCACAGGAGCGGAGCTGCAGACATCAGATGGCATCGAGCTCCACCTGCTGCAGGATTTCTGCAGTTCACTTCACCTACAGCTGCTGGGTGGGATCTCGAGAAAAATGACTGTAATCAATTTCATGGGAAACTTTTGGGTCATTTCCTCATGCAAGCTTACTTTAAGATGATGTTTCATGTATTATGATTTTTTTAAAAATTATTGTTTCTTAGATACGGAGTTGTATGAGATTTTGTTACTTCACTATAATGAAAGCAGGAAATGATCACTGAAACAGGCCTTTTGATGGCTTAAAAGCAAATTAGATGATCTATGATGAAAGTCTTCATAAGCTGGAAACACTAACAAAAAAAACCCCCAACACCCAAACTCCAAAGATTGCTCAGATTGTCATGATAATATATTGTTGAGTTTCACAAATTAGACATACCAATATTGTTTTCTCTCAGGTTTTTTTTTTTTATATCTGCACTGCAAATTAAAAAGCTAGAGTTCTAGTGTTCTGTAATGAGGTACTGTTGCTGTTTTAAGCTCAGATTGTACCTTTTTGATACATGACATAGTAATGGAAGATAATGTAGAAAAGGAAGCTGTTCCATTCTGTTCTCTGTGATAAGGCTGATTGAATCTCACTGTCAGAGCCCAGGGGGAGGGAGGGGGTGGTGGATGCAATACCTCCCTCCCCGAGCAACTCTGCAAAAGTTGGGTAGGTTCACAGCTCTTTTTCCTTTTCTCATGAACTGTCAGAGCTGGCTGGCCAAAGGCAGGATGCAGGGAAATGTTGCACCTAAGAAAACTTTCCTTCAGTGCTCTCTGGCATTGGACACTTGAAATGACTTCCTTCCCTTGAGTAGTAAATTATTCTGAGAGACTCTCAATTGGTTTTGTGTCATTTGAGGTATCGCCCGCTGTAAAAGCAGTGGTACCTGCCTGTTGTCAACTTTTTGCTGCTTCTGAGGGGAAAAGAAAAAAACAAGAAACCAAGTGGTAGGAACAAAGCAGACTGGAAATTCTACTGTTCCTTTTAGCATTATTTATATTCTGCATAGATCATTTGTGTTCATGAATATACAGGGATGTAGTTACGAGTATTTTGGACTTATGCTGGGTTTTGTTTGGCAACTTATTTCTAAGATCCAGTCTTTTGAAAGCCTGTTTTCACAGGTAAAGACGTTTGGTATTCAGAATCTGCTTCTTACTACAAACGGTTAAAATAAATAACGTTGGTCTTCGGAAAAAATATACCAAATATCGATGATTAAATTTATATAATGACAAATACTTCCCTAAAGTTCAGTGTGACACTGTCCGTACTGAATGCATACTCATCCCCAGTGATCTCTGATTAGCATTTCCTATAGGTGATGTGTGGGTGCCCACTCAGGCTGTAAAGCAATTCCTCTCGTTCAGCGTGTGAATGTGCTTTTCTCGGGCACCGAGGCAGCTCTCGGGTTCCTTGGTAGCCCTCTTTAAGACCTGTGCTCCTCAGCAGTGTCAGTTTGCCATCTGCCTCTGCTGCTGAGCAGTCTTGATCAAGTGCATCCCAACTGCATGAAAGTGGAGCCTTCGGGCTTCTCTTTGACATATCATTAGTTCATCCTTCTGCTCTGTCTGCAGAAAATCTCCTTTCCGTTCCAAGTACTTTGCTCTTAGTACCCTCTTAGTACCCTCCACATTTCTGGGTGTGGAGTTTTGTGGGGTTTTTTCCACCAGTTTTCTATTTGTTTGTGCACTGCCTCAGTCATTAATGTTAGAACATTGGTGTTTGCAGTTCTCCCGTGGGTGAAGATATTGTTCCTTACACTTTGAACCTTTGTTCTGCTGAAATGTTACACAGGAACATAAATTCAGAAAGAATTTTGTGCCTTCTTGGGTCAAGATTCCAACAAGCAAAATGCTCTGTTGTTCGTTTTAGAGGGGTTTTTTTAATACTTGAATATTTCCAGGCTTTGCTCTGTTGTGCAAAAGCTTTACAGCATAGCAAGTATTTCATCCACAGCTCTGAGTCTGCTGTGCAGTCTGTCAGCCTTTTTATTGTACACTGTCTCTACCTTCACTCTCTGGGTGGGACTTGCTACGGCCTCCAGCTTTGCTTTGCTTGGAATCAAAAAAATGAGCTCTTTGATCTAAAAATAGTGCAGGAAGGAATTACTGTTTTCATATCCTTTTAGCCTGAGCACTGTACACTGCTGTGTGATATGAAGTCTTTTATTAATCTACCTATATAATTTCATTTTAATAGGAGGGAATAGGTCTTCCTTCCACTTGAATAAACTGGCAGTTGAAGGAGGACTAAAAGTGTGCTTGGGTTTGACTTCAGGGCTTTTTATAAGTCTGTGCCTTCCTCGTGGGTGAAAGCACAGACCCAAGCACAGTGATCTATCACACTGTGTATCTTCAGGGAAGAGTAATTACAGGTAAGTAGTTTCCTACTCCTGGTTTTGGAAATTAGGTTTTCTTTGTATGTTAGACACAGCAGTCTATATAACAGTTTTCCAAGAGAAGAGAAAAGTTACCTTTTCTAAGCATTTAAGCATAGTAATTTAGAAAGCTTGTATGCATTTTGCACAGTAGCTTGTCAGCAGGTACTTCATATGAGAATCTATTTGTGCACCAAAGTTACTTAGTGATATTTTTAGTTTTTCTACAATAGACTAGCCATTATTTTTGCTTTAGTTGGCATCTCTGTAGAAAAATGTATTTGCACCGCTTAATTTTGAGAATTCTGACCTGCTACAGTACAGTTAACTAGCAGTATTTAAAATATGGTTACATGTTTTTGTTCATTTTTTAGGAACCAGGGAAAAAAGATGTGCAGGAAAAACCACCCAGAGATGTGGCTGAAGCTACTACGAGCAAGTATTCCTTCAAGCCAGAGGTGAGACTGCTTTGATTCCAGATGTTGTTAAAGGCAACAGACAAACATCATCTTTGAATTATTCATATAGATATGTTTGCTGAATTCAAGATTTAAGGCCTTGCTATACAGAAGGAAACAGCCTTTTCCTGACTGATGAACATTTCATAGGTTTTGCCTTCAGGAGTTTTATTAGATCTCAGATAAAATTGCTGATGAGTGAGATACAGGGTTCTATTGTAGTTTGGTAAAAATAGTGTTTGGAAAATGCAGTTTAGCTATGTTAGTTACTCCATGCCTCAGTTCTAGAAGACTGACCTTTAAACTATATTAGTTTAGTGCAGACATGGCTAATACATTCAAATATCTTTCTCTTTCAAAAATTAATATTTTTATTAAAGTGCATTGATTAATATTGCATATTCTTTGATCTCAAAAACCTGAAGCTGAAAGGGCTGTTCCTTTGGGTGCTACATAGAGCTGCACAAATTAACACTTGCCAAAGATCTAGCCTATGCCCCTTTTTTCAGCCTTTGCCTGATATGACCTTAACCTACCATTTTAAATATTGAAAGGTCTGGAGATAGTCTTACTTAAATGCCACTTTTTGGTCAGCACAGAACAGTTCCTGTGGTGAGCTTGTTCTGATGCATCCAAGACAACCCAAGTGTATGTTCTAGTTGATGTGTACTAGCCTGTCACACAGCAATGCAGAATTACAGTGTAGGCTGTAGCTATCTATCCCAAAGCAATTCAGGCCTTGTAAAGGTAAATAAAATTTTGGAGTTAAAACACATTTTAATTTCTCTGTAGGCATTTAACAATTTGCCTGAATTTTATTTGATAATCCAGCAAAAACATTGAATTTTTTCATTACACGTTGTCTTTGTTAGCTTATTTCAAATCTGATCCATTTCCTTTCTCTTTAGAACAAATCAATGCCAGGCAGCTGATTTAATTTTTTTTTTTTTTTTTTAATAAAAGAGAAAAATAAAATGTAACCAAAAGAGAGAGGTTTGTACATTTGCAGTTATATGAGCACTGACAACTAACACTAACAATTTTTAATTTTTTTTTTTTTAAGTTTCCCTTTAAGGAAGAAAGGACAAGTGTTAGCCTGACTTCAGCATCCATTAATATCTCACCTATCACAACACAATATTTTATTTCCTTTTTTATCTAACTTGCATCAGTCACTGAGTTATTTCAGAGTTGTTGGAAGCTACCTAAGTTGAAAATTAAATGCGCTGTGGAAGTCCTGCTAAAAGGTGTGGCTGTGCTAGGTGTTCTGCTGCCACTCTGGCTTGAATACCAGAAACATTCTACCAATGCATTAATTTCTCTTTTCAATACTCCTTTACAGTTGTTATTTTTATCTATGCATCTCATGAATAAGAAATCTTTTCTTTTGTTCACGCTTTCCAGAATGTTCTCTAAAGTTAAAAAGATACTAGGAAAGGGTGAAGTGTGCAGCTCAATCTTATAAAGGCTGTTTTCTATATGGAACACAAATTGTTTCAGCGATCAAAACCAGTACACTCAGAAGTGCATAGATTTGGAGTAAGAGTTGCAGCCTCTCTTGAGTAGGCGAGCATTTTCTCTACAGATCCAACTGAGATCTGCAATATCCCATTGCACACTTTCCCAAGTGCATAATAAACTTTATTTCCTTTACTGGGAATTTATTTTTCTGGATACCTTAGGACACTTAGGAAATGCACGGAGCTGCCTCAGGAATACCTTCAGCTGCACCTCAGTCTCTGCACACCAGCACCGTGCCTCTCAGTGGACAGCAGCACTTTTTGCACATTGAGTGCACAATAATAAAATATTATAATATATATTTGCACATTATAATATAATTATAATAAAATATTTGCACAAATAAAATATGCTCCAGCTGCATATTTTATTTCCTCATACATGCAAAAACACTGCATGTGCACAGCATGCAATCATAATTCTATGAAATTGATGCAACTGTTCTCTGGAAACCCGCAGGGTACTTCAAAGCCAGGACTAGTTCAACAACAAATATAAGCTTTCATCTCCCATGAATTTTAGTTCCCATAGCTGCTCAGAAGAAAAAATGTTGCAGGCATTTTGAACAATGTACTAAGTAGATGATTTAAATTCCTTTACCTAAAATTGCTGACTTGGTTTCTACACTCTTAAAAAAGAGAGAGAAAATAATAAAACCATTAATACTGTAATGTTTATTTTCAATTTGATCTTTCAGTCTGATCCATCGGAACCAGCAAAGAGGCTCTCCTCATTTAGAGACACAGGAAAGGAGCTGAGGACTCTTGGTGAAGCTCTAACTTGCTTAAGGTAAGGGAATCCAGAGCACACAGAAATGGGCCTCTCAAGGCTAAAGGAATCTTTGGTTCTGCAGTGGCAGCAGCTGGATTTTAGGTGAAATAACCAACTGTACTAACAGCTTAGAAAAGATGGTTTGTAATTCTTCCTTTATAGGCTCTATGTCTACAGAAAATGTCAGTGCTGTATGAGGAATGATTGTTTGATAGCTCTGTCTGTACCAATACTGTATTGTTTTAGTGTTCTTTATAAAGGTGCTCATTACTTCCCTGCAGCCTTTTACATGACACAGTGTTGTGCCAAGATTGAGCAGTCAATAAAATAGTCAAAGATGAGCCAATAAAGAAGTCAAAAATGAGCAATGTTAGGACATATAATGTCCATTATGTGATGGAAAATCATAGTGAAAATATCTACCACTATTACACAAATACCTGCATGGACTTATTTGGAATATACCCTGAGTCTCAGGAAGATGCTGATGTGGAAGGAATAGATTTATGTGCTCATTATCTGATGGAAAGTGAGCTGTTTCAATAGGATGTGGATTTGGGATCCAATATACTTTTTAGCCAGCAGAGTTTGGACAGCAACCATTACTTCTTTTATGGAACTAACCACAGAAAGTAGCTGGGTTGTGCATGCTTTTCTTAGAAAGTATATTCTATGGCCACTAAAAAAGAATCTGTTACAAACTTTAAGGTCTGACTTGGGGAAAAGGCTGCAATTTTTTAAATGGTTGCTGTTCCAGAGCAGTAAGGCTATAGAGAAATATAATTTAAAATTTCTTTTGTATTTTATAGTTTCATAAAACTTAATGAAAGCTATGTCTAAAATTTAGCTATTTTCAATAAACTTCTGTCCCAGCAGGGCATTTCTTATGGTCTCATTTAAAAAAACAACCAAACAAAAATCCCACAACAAAAAACCCACAAACAAACTACATCGAAACAAAATCCAGGGAGGACTATTGGGAACAGACTTCAGCAAAGAGTACTCTCCCATTTGGGCACTCATACCCTTTAATGTACTTGGGCTGTGTTGTCACCTGTGTTTCACCATTGTCACTGCAGGTGGTGTTTAAGTTGACAACTCTTTCTGTTGCAATCACACATTCTGATTGTGCTCCAAACTTGCCTGCGGAGACCATCCACTCTATTTGCTCAGTGTTAGCTTAAACAGTTGCTAAACTGCATAATAAGCCTTGCAGTAGGTGGCTCTAGGGTTTTCTAAATTTTCCTGCAACCTACTAGCTTTCTTGATGTGAGTGTTAAGCTAAGAAATGAGATTAATTTGCAACTGAAACAGCAAGCAGTAGAACAGAAAGATGATTTACATCTGGCAAGGTTTAGTTACAGCCTGCTGCAAATAAAACTGACAAATTACCACTGCCAGCCCCAGCAGGGTATAGATTATCCAAGTGTTTACAAGGTTCCTAGTCTTTAAGTCTTTGAAGAACATTCACTAGATAAAAATAGTTGAATTAAAGCAAGCAGCAATAAGACTGACATCTACATAAAAACTTAATAAATAAGTTACATTTAGCAAATATGACAGTCAAGAGAACGCATGAGATTGTATCAGCATAATATGTTGAAGACAAAGTAGACTCTTGCATTGTTTGACTGAATTAACTGCATCAAAGTCAGGGAAGTTAGAGAAAAGTAGCTTTTTTGCATGTACTGCTGTAGAGGAATTGGAAACTTAGATTTCACAATAATGTTTTTAAATAGTCCTAAATTTTTACATCCCAGCAATTTCTTAATCTTTTACTAGTTACTCATGATAACATTATATTTCACATTCTTCCCTTCTATTCTTCTTTGCCCCCAATTATTTTTATTATTCACTTACTCTGTTAATTCAGTTTTAATGAATTTTCACGTGATAAACTTGGCTGAAAATAGTAATAAACCATAAACAACATAATAAATCTGGTGTACTTTGAAGGCTGGATAAGCCATTTTAGTAAAGCATGACTTCTTTTTGTCATAAATGCACTGTTATGTTTGCCTGCATTCATTGTTCACTGCTAAGTTTCAGTGGGATTGTCTCCTTGTGGTCGTTCTTTTGATGATAACCTGCCAAGGATCAGTTTACTTCTTGATATATGAATTGCAGGTGCTTGGAGCTTGCTTTTGGTTCATTTCCATTCTTCATTTTCAAATGCATAGGATAAAAAATACTTGCAAGTGTTCTGTAGGGTGAAAATTACCATCAACATTGGTGTGAAAAGGCTTGATTTTTTGTAAATACTAACAAGTTTATTTGTAGACATTTGGATGAAGCAAGCTGGACCACTCATTTCATTTCAGATTTACAGTTTGAACAAATGAACTGTCATTTTGTTAGTAGGTGAACATGAGGGGGGTCTTGATTTGATACTTGTTGGGAAACATGATATTGAAATGCTGTTAGGAGCTACATGGCATTTTTGTGTACTTTGATGTAACCTAGAGATGTTTAGGATCAGCTGAGCTTTTCCACAGCATTGAAATTCTTCCTGATTCAGTAGATTAAGAGTGAGTTTTTAATCCTATAATTGTGAAAACTATGAAATTAAACTTGATTTTCTAAAAATCTAGATCATCTTTGAGATTATAATGTGTAACACTGTAGGACTGCTTTTGCAGGAGGTGGTGCTTTGGCCCCTTTATGTGAAGGACTTGATGGCATGAGAAGCCGTGCTTTTCAAAGTTAGCTCTTTCATGTGCTAAAGAAGTGCCATGTAGGATAACAGTGGTACAGACTTAAGCTGGACATGATTTCTCCATGACAGAAGAAAGGAAGAAAGTAGATTGCCTCTCCACAGCCTGTTTCTTCTGCTCCCTGTTTCTGAGCATTACAGCATTGTGTCAAGGTATTGATCCTAACTCTTGGCTGAGCAGCTGACTTTGTGCAAATCACTGGAGCCCTCTGCAGCTCTGTCAAGTAACTTGTAAATTGGGATTGGAAACCAGACAATGTGTCTGAACTGAACTCACTGCATAAATATTTAGCTTTTAAATTGGCGTGGATGGCAGTGTGGATGAGGATTGCTTTCATTACTGAAAGCAAAAATCTTTTATTTATTTATTTTTTACATATAAGGCATATTTTTTCTTACCATTTTCATTTAAATTATTTTTAAATTTTAAAATCTATTTACCACTACCTTATGCTTTTAGGGATGTTAGTTTGATAAATCTTACAATGCCTATCACTCAGGTACGTGCAAACATTGTCTTATTCGTCTCTGCAGCACTGCTAGGTATTAGCTGCATAAATATTATTATTCTCATAGGTAAATTATGAAAGTCAAATTGAGAATGTAAGATTAATTATCACTGGAACAGCTACAATTGGAACTTAGGTGTCTCGGGTAAATAAATGCCTTATTCTTCTAGACTTCAGTGATGCTTCTTGTTTCTCCCATTTTTATTTTTAGAATTGGCCTGCTAAATTAGAAGCTCAAGGGAAAGACTTCTTAAGAGACCTAGCCCATTACTCTGGGAGGGTGCAGTTGTTTCCTAGGACAGATGTTTAGTCTAGCCTACTTTTAACTGAAGACATTTCTGGTTCCTGTACCACATTGTGATAAATGCAGATTTGCCTTCCACTGAATATTTAATGGTAATGCAATCTGCAAAATTATGTTCAATTAGGTAGATTTTTAATGATGTTAATAGATTTGATCCCAATGTGCTTTGATGTCATATCTTTTCTCTGAGTGATTAAAAACCAAGGTTTTATAGTCTTTCATCCCTCCTCACCTCTAGAAGCCAACAGAACTAAAGGGACAAACAAGATTATATTTTTATATGTGTTATCAGCAGAGAAATTTGCTTGAGAAAAGTCAAGGAAACAGATTTTTAAAATATGAACTCACTTTCTGAAATGTACAGTAGCCAAATGACCCAGTATGCAGAAAAATATCCAATAGACTTAATTTTAACAATGAAGATGTGCTAGTCATTCATTTTCAGTGTTTGCACAGTGTTACTTTGACTAAATCTCCATGTAGAAAAAAGAACAGTAGGAAGCACGAGGAATATAAAACCCACAGACTTTGAAAACAAATATTGAGATATGAAATTGCAGGAAAAGGTAATTCCAAGTGAGAATGACTGCAGTGCTGGTTTGGACCAAAGGACATGTCAGCAGTACTTATTTAGTAACAATTTCAGACCATAAATGAGGTGCTATTTTCAAAAAAGTAGTAGAGTGGAAAATGCAGGAAAGAAAGGGCAGCAACTTTTAATTTCAATTACAGCAGTCAGGCTAGCAGAGCAGCATGCTAATACCTACTACAGGGGATCAGTGAATACAAATGACCTTTGTGGATTTGGTTTTTGCTGCTTTTCCTCCTCCTGATTGAAAAGAAACACCCAGCAGCTGTCTTAATTGGATGTTAATTGATAGATATTCACAGGAAGTAGTGTCTGTGATCTTGCAGCTTGTTTGTACGAAGGGATATAATGGAACAAACTGTGAGGAAGTTTTTTAATGATCACAGTGACGTAGCACAGGAGTATGAATTTTTAAATTACCTCAAAAATGTTTGAAGAGTCATTACCAGAACAGACTTAGCTGCATTTATAAAGCTTTAATATTCAACCTTACACATTAAAAGCATAATTAAACTGGAGATAAACCTTGTAATTATGACCTCATATCTCCTCTCAGTAATACTCTCTTATACTTTCGTGAGTCCTTGTGATGATGTAAAAGAGCATGATGACAGAACGCAGAGGTTGCTCCAACTACTCATCTTTTAAAACTATCAGTCACTAGTCTCAAGTAGGAAGTCATACCGGAGCTTTCCTACTGATGAGTTGTACCCAGTCACTTTAGGGAGACAACTCTCAGCTCTCGGGTATCATTTTACCTAAACACAGCATTAAAATGTAGGAAGAATTTTTTTTTTTTAATATATATTTGTGCAGCATAAAATGAAAAACCATTTGGGAAATCTGTAGATAATGATCATTCCTCTTCCTTTGTAGATCAGGACATCTTGCTTCCAGTGGAGA